GGGGGGGGGGGGGTGTACGGTATTTGCAAATACATCTTCCCAGGTTCGGCTTGGGGAAATCTTTTAGGGGGTCTGATGTACATTTCTGCTGGCTGTCTGAAGTCCGTCCGAAACCCATTCTGAGGCATTGTCTGTTGCTTCTTGAAATTTGTGAAGTGAGCTCGCTTCGGACTGCCTGCGGCCAGGTGGCCAGCAGCATGTTGAAGTTGATGCCCGACATGTCCCCAGAAGCCTTGAAACCACAAGCCCTAAACCCAGAAACCCTGAACCAAGGAGACCCTGAACGCGGAAACTCTAAACCCTTAAACCCTAAGAACCTGGAACCCAGAAACCTTGAACCCCGAAAAACCCTAAATCCAGATACCCTAAACCCAGAAACCCCGAAGAAAGAAACCCTCAATCCGGAAACCCTAAACCCAGAAAGCAGCTTTACAAAAGACCTCCAGGCCGATGCCAAGGAGGAGTCCAAGCATTTCGTTCAGCTTCAGCCAGACCGGAGAACAGAAGATGAAGGCCCGTGTAGTATAAAGAAAGCACACTTTAGTATAGCATAGTATATAATATAATAGTAGTTCCGGGCTTTTGCGCACCGTCACACGCGGGGCACTCTGTGAGGCGGGCAGAACCATGACAGACTGGGCAGAGGCTTCGATGTTGATGAGGCGGGCAAGGTTAATCTAATTCAGAAGACGGCGGCGGACGGTGCCCCTTGAGTGACATGCAGGCCGTCAAAGTCGCACTGACGTCTGCTGTTGAAGCTGCACCACAGGTGGAGGCTAGGATGCATGGAGGAGTCGCGCCTGCAATTCGAAGCCTGCCTTTGCAGACAGGCCTTGCTCCAAAGTAGCTCATCCACAGGAGTGGCCCTCGTCAGATGGGGAACAGACACAAGCCTCCGGCGACGTGCCTGAACCTGAGGCCACTTGCGGGGCACACTTTCCGTCCTCCTGGCATCTGACGTCCTTTTCTCCACGTCCAGATCTTGGCCTTCCTGCAAACACGTGCCAGTGTCGACAGTCTGGGTGATGGCTTTGCTTGCAGGACTGCCGAGTCTTTACGACTACAGTAGGGTATTCGGTCACTGAGGCTTGTTCCCGGTGGTCACATGCAGGATCTGGCACAGAAATGCCAGGCTCAGCAGAACATTAATGCGCGTCCACATTCGTCCACGCAGTCTCACTGTCACTGGGGGCGATATTCGCTTTCGACTGCAAGGTTACACAGCCGACGTCGTAATACCTCATGACTGTCTCGGCTGTCCCTGAGAGGTTCACATTGACATTGTCTCGGATGCCTCCATCCCCTCTTCGATGCGACAGGTGGTGTTATCCCCAAGAGTATTCTGTGTTGGGGCTCCTGTTGTTGCAAGTCCCAAGAAAAGATGAGGTCTTGACCGGATCTTTGGCCAACAACGCTGCGGCTGCCTACTGGCTACAGGCGAGAACAGTAAGCAGATTGAAAGAGGGCCACCGCCGAATGCAAAAGCGGAGTAAAAGTACATTGCTCTCCATGCGACTTTAGGTCGGCACTGCTCGCCACCTTGCCTCGACCCGGAGCTTCGCCAAGTGAAAAGAGAATTTCGAACTTCTCTTATGCGCGTTGCCCTGACATGCAAGGCTGAGGCCTGTGATGGCTGTGACATTGCTCTGATCCGGCAGGTCGAGCAGTGGAAGGAGAGCCATGAAGGCAGCAGAGTCTGTTGCCAGTACCTGGAGCTGAGACGTGAAGCTTGTCCTCACAGCCTTGTTTCAAAAGAACGGGTTCTTTGGTCTTGGCATGGACGTCCATCATTGCGTATGTTTTGACCTGGCGGCAGGGACTGGAGACGACGGCCTGAACAGGCATGAGCCCGGGCCGAACGTGCAGCAGTAGACATCTATGTTCACCGGAATGCCTGTGCGGCTTTGTTTCGTCACCTGATGCTACCTGTGACGTCCGTGGCATGGTGTCCCTCTCATCGCCGTGCGGGCACGAAATGTCGGCTCATGGTATGCGAAAGGCTACCTACTGTGCTACTAGCACCACTACCACACATCAACGTCCACCCGCCCGTGAAGCGCACTGCAGTGGGCTTCCTCTGATTTTCGAGGAGCAGAAACTGCCATGACAGTGGTGGCTCCACCTCTGAAGATTACGAAAACATGGTCATCATCTCATGTCTTTCGCGTATCGCTACAGGTCATGCATATTGTATGAATCGTCGTGCAGCAGGCAGACTTCTTTCGGCTGCCAGGTGGTCCATCGAGGATGTGGTTTGATTGCAAGGCACCAAGGCTTGGGCTCTGTGTCGGGAGACGTCGACGTAGTCAGTCGCGATGTGCGACAATGTAACATCCAGGCCATGGATAACTTCTGAGCGAATTGTTGCACAAAGCCGTTTATCTTTATTTGTTGATATTTGGTGATTCCTTTTGTCCTCTGTTGTGTTGCCGGGCCGTGCGTTCGAGATGAGGACGTAGCCCGATGCTTGTACATACTTCTCGCGCTCTCCGCTGCCACTTGCGAGGGGGAGGGGCGCAGATTTTGGACATTTGCACGCTGCCCTGACAGTTTTGTGTTTTGTCCCTGCGGCGCACCCAGAGAGGTGCCGCAATCCACAAAGGTGCCTCAGGTTCAAGCGAGGGGCAGCTAAGTGTTGTTTTTGGAGGGGTTGCAAACAAAAAATCGAGTGTCTGGCCGAAGGGTAACAGCAGCCGACGGGGGTGACCGCAGAAGTAACTCAGCATCCTAGAGTGCTCCCGAAGCTTTGAACCTCGGCAGCGAGCCATGTTTAAAGCATACAGCGAGAACCCACCCTGGCGTGTGCGGCCGGTGTTGATCATCGTTCTGTGCAAGTACCCTGGCATGCCCCATCAATGCAAGGAGCGGGTGAAAACTCAATCCCACACGCCACATGTAAATAGCATTGCCCGAGTCAGCTTGCAAGTCTCGCAGGCAGTTATCGAATTCAATGATGCTACAGACATCATACCAGTCGGAGGTGACACTCGCATCAACGGTACTAAAAGGCAAGGCTGCAGCCATTGGGCATTGTAGTACCATGCGAATGCAGGACTACACCCAATTGATTGTTGTCGGTCGGCTCGTGTTGGATCAAGAGGACCTGGAGCCCAGGGCCCAGGCAGACGGGCAGACATGCGGAATGTAAGCCAGAAGCTGACTGCTTCCCATCAGCTTCAACTTCCAGCGTAAAGACTGCAGTCGAACTTGACATGAACTGCACCAGCATCCACAAGCCATCTCAGACATCGTACTTGTGCCCTCGCAATGGCGCGCCTGGATGCAGCTGCTCAGCACAAGCGCACGATGGCGATTCTCCCGGGACCACCGCCAGCCTCTCGCTGAGTCAAAAACGAAGCACGCCGCCTCTATGCTGGTGATGCCGTCAGGCCGTCAGGGAGTGTAACTCGTGCCCAGGTCCAGCCTCTCCGGCGCCCCAATGCAGTCCTGGGAGACATTACCAACACAGGTCCGCTCAGACACGGAGTGCTAAAAAGAGCATCGTCGCCTCCCGATTCAGGCCCAGGCTTTGGAATGAAAGTTGACAAAACGATGTTCGTCTCCTGCCAAGCTGGCCATGTCATGTGATCTGACGGCGATGTGGAGCTGTGCAGTAAGGCGGGCAACGTTGTGCCGACACAGCCAGCACTCGGCCCTGGCAACATGACGGTGGTCAGCAGCTAAGCCTCTACTGGAAGATTTTCCGCAAGTTGCTTGTCGGCTTGATTTTGCATCTCTTGGAAGGCCTGGGTGAGAGAAAACTCGCGCTTTGTCATTCCAGTGTCTGGCGACCACATGGACATGCGTTGCTGCATGCTCTTCTGCTGCGACTCGTAGTGCCCGATACCATGAGAATGGGACACCAGGATGTTGTTATGGAGGAAGATGAGGCCTCGGTTCTTTCAATGGCCTCAGTGCTTCGTGCCAGCCGTGGTTTTATGCGAGGACCCCCAGCAGGTGTCTGAGTACTCCAAGGACATCTTTGACCACATGTTCTCTACGGAGCGATCCTTCCAACCCAGGCCCAGACATGGAACTGCAGATGGATCAGGTTCAGCCGTTCAGCGCAGTTGCTGTTTCTCTGGCTCGAGGTGCCACTATCTAGCTGACCAGCGAGAGATCAACACTAAGATGAGGGCAATCCTTGTCGATTGGCTGGTCGAGGTCGGGTTGGGGGAAGGAGTGCGACAGAACAAGCTCGGAGTCGCGTTGGCTCAGGTTCACATGAAGTACAGGCTGAAGCCAGTAACTCTCTTCATGGCGGTGAACATCATCGACAGATACCTGTCCATGAGGCCGAGTTGCTCATGTGTACTTTACAGCAGGGTCACGAAGGGAAGGGATGGGAAGCTTGGTCCACCGGCCTGCAGAAAATCTACCAGGGTCGGTGAAATCAGGAATGATTTCTCGGCAGGCGTTGTGGTGCTGTCTTTGGTTGCCCACTTGTGCCTGCCTACCCACCCACTCACCCCGCGACCGACCCACCGGCCGACCGACCAACTTACCTACCTGAATACATACAATTACATACATGCCCGCGCTACATGTCTTTGTTTGCGGGCCTGAATGTTCGCGTTTGCCTGGTGAAGTGCGCCTGCATGTGCAAGTGCCAACGTATCATGTTTCCTCAAGACTGCAGACAGGCAAGTGCCACGAAAGAAGCTTCAACTTTGTGGTGTGACCGCCCTCCTGATTGCCTCGAAGTTTGAGGACAGCAGGTAGGCTTGCAATCGTGCGCGAAGACCGCAGCATACTGCAGCTGTCGAGGTTGTCTCACATGCACTGCTGCACTCCAGGAGATCTACCCACCAGAGGTGAAGGATTTCGTGTACATTACGGACAATGCGTACACGAAGGACGATATCCTGAAAATGGAGGCCTGGCTCGACTCCCTGCCAGTGAGGCATATTGAGAAGCATGTCTTCCACTGCAGTGCCCAGTCCTCTACGCAATGGGCATGGCATGGCATGGCCACGCAAGGCATCGATCCTCTCCACCTTAAACTTCGAACTCTGCAGTGGGCCGCCCAGCGAATCAGGCTGCCAACATCGAAAAGGCAGATCGGCACAAACAATCTGAAAGTTGCCCCAGAAATGCTAACCCATCTCCCGCCCGCGGTCCATGGCAGAGTGAGTTCATGAATTGTGCAAGCTGCAATCGGTTAACCCCCCGAAAGCCTCTCTTGGCCAAACAGCTGGCTGGCCGAGTATCCAAGTAAAGTCGTTCCCGAGACAGTCAGAACAGGTTATGGTCTAGAGAGCAAGTAGGATTGCATTGGAGAGCTTAAAGACATCCATATATTATCTTTCCCCTCATAGTCTGCGCTGAGACGATTGTCTCTGGCTGCGCCCCCGAGGTCCCACGCCAGCGCACTTTCTTGATCGCTACCAGCGAGCAAGCAAGTGTAGCGAGGAGCCGCAGAAGCTTGATTGTTGTTTTATGATCAACTTGATGTTGCTGCAGCTTGTTGCTTGCACTCTGGGAGGAGCATGCGCATTTGATGCAATACCTCACTGAGCTGTGCCTGTTGGAAGTTCACATGATTCAATACACGACTGGGTCCCGGCATCCTTTGCACATGGGCAACATGCCTTTACAGCGTCTTCAGGCCGTCGCTTGTTGCAGCCGCAGCGGCGCTGCTGAGCACGTCGCCCATGAACCAGCACGAGATTTGAGTCAGCAAGAGTCGCTGCAGGCAACAAGCTGCTGCGTCAGCATCCAGCATGGCCGTCGTCTAACTCTCAGCTCCCGCAGGCAAAGTTGAGCCGCTCACGCGCCGCGATCCTGAGGTGCATTGCGCAGATCACCGTACACACAGAGGCAGAGGTGAAGGTGTGGCCTGCAGTGCACCGCTCACAGACACTCGCGTAAGCGGTCGGAAGCCAGGCATGTGCTCGAGAGATGTGTGGGCTCCTGGACGCAGCGGAAATGCTCCCCGGCCATCATGCAGAATCACGAATCATGCCAGGTCCAGGTTGGTCAAGCATGCCTGACAGGAGGCATTCGGTCCTTGCAACTGTAAGGAGCACATTGCAAGCCATCCGCAAGAAGTACTCGCAAGACAAATTCAGCAAGATTGTCCCAATCTGAGATGCAACGTATCCCAAGGCTTTGCCGTCAGGGATTCCACATGTCCGAACATGTTCTTGGCCCAGGCGACCACCAACAGGAGGTTCTGGACGTCACGGCCCGGGAGATCTCACCAACGTGGCATTAGGTGCAGTCGCAAGTTGCTCGTGCTGCCAAGATAGAGCCAGCGCCGACTTCCGTGACCGGTTCTGCGCAATTCGCATGAAAGCGGTGACGATTTTCGATCGGCCAAGCCGCTCCTTTCCATGTCCTAGCTGCCCAATTCGGTGCACCTTTAGTTCTTGTCCTTGCTTCAAGGGCATGCATGCTTTGCCTGTTGAGCTTGCGAGAGCTTTGGCTTTAGAAAAAACGCTAGCAGTCACTAGCAGGCCAAGTCATGCTGACACTTCTGAGTCGCACTCGCATATGCTGAAGAGGCATCTTGTGCTAGCGCGTCAGGCTGAGAAGAGCCTAGACGGAATTTGTTTATGGTCAGGACGAGACTGGCCTGAACTAATTCAATCGCATGTTAGATTGAAGCTTGCACCAGCTTGCGACTGTAGATCATTGCAGGGAAGATATTCGTCGTTACGCGTGTAAACCTGGGAAGCGCAAGAGACGTCCGGAGATAGTACCAGAGTTACTTGAGCCCTTTCGGACGTGGCATGCTTGCTTCAGCTGTCTTGCAGCTGTTGCAGCTCGCATCACGTTAGTGTGAGAGTGGCGAGCAGGTCTCAGCAGGGCAACTGCACTAACCGACCCGGCCTTCAGAAATCGCATGCTGTAGTCTGTACAGTAGGCACGAGCCATGGAGATCAGATGTATGCTGCTTTCCAAAATGCACAAGGTGCAATCGAGCCGCTACTGAACCTCTCAGTGCTCCCTCCCAAGATGATCACATGAAGCGCACTTTGCAGTCATGCCTTGCGCCGCTTGTGGACAGGCCGGCAAGGTCTTGACAGGCTGTTGCTGGCCCGTGAGTCACTCTGCAGGACAAAGAGACGACGGAGTGGAAATGGGATCCCCTCAGGCTGCTGACGGCTGCTCAACATTTTGCTTCCTTGACACCCTCAGTGCGATGCAACGGCATACTGTGCACCGTCTTTGAGATAAGCGTAATCTGGCACAGCGCCCTTGCTTCAATGTAAAGTGGTCCTGCGCTCCGTAATCAAGGGGTTTTGGAAAGACGAAGCGTGGAATGTATGTGTGCAGTTGAAGCATGAGAAGTCTTCATTCCATCAAAGAACGAGCGACTCGACGCCATTGAAGGTGGGAGTTGGACCCGCCCTGCACCGAGGCCGGTGAAGCCTGAGCTATGCCTGAACGAGTTGATTTAGGCCCTGACATGTAACGAGGCAGAATGGAAGTACCTGTCTGATACCAATGGAGCGCCCGATTTCATGGCACTTCAGCAGCAGGAATCTCAGAAAGCCCGAAGCTCAGCATCAAGCAAAGATCGAGCCCTTTGGTCCGAAGGTGTAGCTACATGAACAAGATCTGCCGGGGATGCTACAATTCCAGACTTCTTGTCATGGCAAAGGTCAAGACTAGGAGCCTTTTGTATGCTTCAGTCTGCATGTTGGAAAAGGCCTTCTTGATCCTGGTGGCAGGATCAGAGCCGTCGGTGGCTTGGAGGAGCTTCAGCCGTCTATGAAGATGCGGAAGGCCTGTAAGAGTGGCCACTCTGTGCACCCAACGATGCCGATGCTTCGAGGAGTATGAAGCTGCTCACCAAGCTGACCTCCTGAAGAATCGGCCTGCGCTGGGCTCATCACGTCAGCTCTGACCAGAATGTCTCGAGCGCATTCGGTCGCTGTCGGAGGCAAAGATCGACGGCTTGCCTTCGACTCGGCTGACAACCTGCGGTCTCAGTGGAGTGCAGAAAAGAGAGCTTCTTAACATGTCTTAACCATTGCGAGGCAGAGCGCAGCCGAACTGAATGGTCAGTTGTGCAGGCTGCCGGATGTGAAACACTTGTTTTCGCGACAGCTGCCTGAATCATAGCTAGACTCTAGGCTTGAATCAGGTTGCTGTCCAGGGATGCGCAGACGCTGCGGTGGACCGTGGAACTCGCGGCAAGCTGAGCTGCCTCTGATGTTGGTGACTCGCGTGTCCTTTGTCGATCATGGACTCGGAGAGGGCACTTGCTACAAGTATGGCGTGAGAAGTTCACGGTCGAGCAGGAAAATAGAATCTCCTTTGGCCTCACCGTTTGGTTAAACAAATTTGGGCTTCAGCTGGTCTCCAATTCCTTGGTCCTTGATTCCTGTGGTTCGTTTTGGCCTTGGTTTTAGCGTCCCCTGCTACAGCCGAACTGGCGACATTGCTGAAGACATTCTCACATCCCACATCTGATTGCACCTCTTTCATGCTGTGTCCATGTCTGTGTGCCGCTGCGCCTGCATGCACCGGAGCAATCCCAAGCAGACTTACCCCTCTTGATTGACAATGGTGGCTGCGCAATGCAAAACATCAGATTTAGCCCCATGGCTTGTTAACAAGTTTGCTGCTTAGTTGTCTGATTCGTGAGTTTTTTGGTGAGCTACATGCCGTAGATCCAGAAGTCTTTCTGGAGGTGGAGCAGTTGGTACGACTGAACTGCCTGCGGCAAGCAGCATTCTGAAGCGAGCATCAGATTGACGAGGTGAGCGGTGATCAGAAGTCCATCAAAGAAGCCAATCTGACGGCCTCGAAGGCGCTGGCCTTGAAGCAAAATTCCCCGTGCAGAGATCCAGACCAGTTGACAGAATTCCAAGGACATCGACATGGAATGGGAAGTCAGCCGGCAGTCCGACTGCCTACTCTCCGGCTCGGCCAAGCCATCGGATGGAACGAAGCAGCCCACAGCCAGGTGCCCTGGAAGCAAGGCCACTGCTGCGCAGATGGATGGAAAGCCGGTGGCAAGGCCTTTGGGGTCCGAGGCTTGTTGTGCCTTGGGGGGGCTTGTTAAGCCAGCTTGTGTGTGCTTGTGCGCTTGCGAGCAAAGGCAGATTGAACTTGGTGCTCTCAGGTCCAACACCTCGTGGCCGAAGGTCAAGGGCATTCATCCGGGCCAATGTCCCCAGCTTCCCCCCTGCCAACTCGGTGCAAAACTAGGCGGGTATACCGCTCCAGCCAGGTGCTGTTGTCCGCCTTCAAAACCTGGTGGCAAAGCAGGACCAGCTTTACAGAAGAAACAGGTGCAACAGCATTCTGTGGAAAAGGTTGTTACATAGAGACACAGTACATCTCCAGGAGTTGAACGGGCGCAAGGGCAGGCAGGCATAGACTCTGGATTCCAGCACGTTGTTGGGTCACGCCCGAGTCGCGAGAGACAGGTGTATCAGCTTCGACCCAGAGGCCGAAAAAGCAGAAAGGAATTGTACATTGGCACGGTTTTTTGTTGTGCATCAGCCAGTTGGTTTGTTCATTTAGCTGCACTGCCAGTGATAGCCAAGCAGGTTGGCCGATGGAAGGTAGATCTCGGTGATGAGCAGAAGCCGGAGGCTCAGAAAAGCCTCGTTTTCAGACTGTATGCACCCGTCTTGCCAACCTGTGATGCCTGCAAGGTCACTCAAAGTTGAAAATTTGGTGCCGCCCTGCAAGCTGCAATCGCGCACATGCACTTGTGCTTCCCGTTTAACTCTGCACACACGTGCGTCCTTGCGTGCAGAATTACTACTATACCACTGCGGACCGTAGGATAGGTTACAATTCTCGCAGACAAGAAATTAGGGGCAGTGATGCCCAGCCTTCATGGCGGCATATTCAAGATGAATGCAGCGCAGGCAAGCGGTACACAACATATCGTTGCATGGCGCCCTGGCATAGGAAGTGAACTATGACCACGTTGTATCTTTTGCTGGTTTTCGAGTTGATGGTAGTACTGGCGAAGTTTCTGGAGATGCAGTCCATAAGCAGAAACAACATGTGTCTCTGTCTGCACAGTGGCGCGTGCCAATGTCGAGAACTTCGGGGGTCGGTAAGGCTAAAGCATGCTCCTCGCCAGCAATTCCGGCGCACAAAAGTTTTGATGGGCACCGTCCCAATTCGTCGTGCACTGCTGTACTCGTTATCTTCATTCGGGCTAGCCGCACGATGAAACGCCATTCGCCATGGAGGTTCGCATCTTTGCAAATAACCTGTGGGTGGCCTGCCAAACATTGAACTCAAGCTTCCCCTGTTGACCTGTTTTTGTTCCTGCTCATGGTTGGGTGAGCTCATGTGGACGGGGTCTGAGTTCATTCATATCGTTGGTTTAGGTTTCCACCTTAGCGAAGATATGGTTTTTCAATTCGGCGCTTCAAGTCGGTGTTGTTTTCAGTTGTTTGTTTTGCAATTAAAACTTTGCAACTGTTTCCGGCCGAGCTGCAAGACCGTTCTTGCCACAGCGTGCTTTATCCCGGCTTGCCTGAATAACAATACCAGCTCGGGACGAAGTGGAGGGATGCGAGCAGCCTCAGGTGCATAGAACCGCACACTGTACTCTTTACACCTCAGTGCTTTGTCAGAAACTTAAACACTGTGGAAGCGTGTGGATGAGGTACCAGCTCCCGACGAGAAGCCCCCAACCCGGCAGAGCGCAGAGGCAGAGCCTGCAGCCCAGCTTCTAAAAAAAAATACTTGAGAAGTTCCACTTCAGAATCGCCAAGGAAAGTAGCAGGCGCTGCAGAGGCGATAAGGTGGGCACAGCCGAGTTTGCGTTCCGAGACTCCGCCTCTTGGATACCGTCTCACAAAGGAGAGAGGCTTTGGACGCTCGCCAAAAACATGCGGAGGATTATGGCTTATCCCTCAGCATCTAGAATGATCCCATGTGCAAGATGCACGAAGCGAAGTCGTCAGTGCCACCCGTTGGTTCCAGGCTGGGACAGCTGAGCCCTGATCCGCAGAAGTGAAAAAAGGTGGTGCGAGGTATTGTCCTCCGATTCCCTGCCCATGGGAGCTTCTTCTGAAGACGTTTGAATATAAGCGAAAGCGAAGTTCGATGTCTTGCTTCCCTTCTTGGCTCCTGCTATTGCCAGAAATCCAACGACGAGCAGACAACAGTGCTCACGTGCATTCACCACTTTGTGGGGAGGTTGTGTCATGTTGTGTCCACAATCATTCACGATTCTGCTTCCGGCGCCGAAACGACGATGGGCTGCGCGGTAGCTAGAGAGAGAGGCTAGATCAGCTCAAACGTTTGCGCATGGCTCTGATCTAAGGGAAGCAGCGCGAGCAGACTGCGAGCAGCTTGAAGTGTATGAGCTCAAATTTGCAGCCGGCCTCCGCAGGCTGTGCTCTCGGCACAGGGTTGCCATGGCTCCGTGACTTCGCAACGCATCCATCTATGTGTTGCAGCAACAGCGGTTTGGGCCATGTTAAATTCGCCTTTGCTCACTTGCAGACATCTGTCGAAGATGGTGCAACGTTGCTGTTGGCCAATCCAGACTGCAGCGTGTTCAACCCGAACATGTCGGGATCTGCAGATGTTCGAATCAGTGCTGCAAATGCAGCAGATTTACATACTATGTCGGAGGCAAAAAAGGCACAAAGTGGCTGACGTCGGTCCATGGAAAACTTCTGTGCCCGCACGCGAGCTTAACACTCTATTTTTTCTCCGATCATGCATTTCTGATGCAATTCTACAACCAGTCGGTAATGGAGAGCATATTGAAATCGAATTAGGTAAAGAGCATAAGAAAGCAAGCGGAAGATGATGAGATCTGGAGAAACCAGGAAGGAACAACTAAGAATGAGATTATGATATTAAGATTCTGAGAATTTAATTTCAATTTCAATGTTTTTAAGATAACAAGTAAATATAAGTGTTTTTTCAAAGAAAGGAAATTATCTAATAAAATGGTGTCGCGCTGGTCGCCTGCGATGTTTTGTGCGCGCCCTTGGCCTCCGTAACCTCGTCTATTGGCGCAGCCTGTTGCGTGCCTGTCTCGCGGTACTATAATTTTAGTGTCGGCAGCACTTCTTTCCCGAAACTAAAATTTCCGAAATTTTGGTAGCTGTAGGAGTTTCGCTAGAGGGACATGTATAAAATTTCCGAATTTTTGAATAGGCATGCTAGCGGTCATAAAATTTGCGAAATTTTTGGGATGTGCTCGCGGTAATAAAATTATCGAAATTTTAGTTCCGCGAGCTCTAGTGCCGTGTTTTTGAATGTAGGTGTCTCTCTGTCTGTCTCAGTGAGTGTGCGTATGTGTTTGGGCGTCTCTCGGTCTGCCTAAGCGTCTGCTTGTGTATCTGCTTGTGCGTGTCTCTTAGTGTATTTATCTGCGCGTCTGAATTTTATTAGTGCGTTTCTTTGTGGGTCTATTTCTGAGGCGCTTGCACGTCTCTTTGGGTGTTTGTGCGTGTGCTTATCTGTGTGTCTCTCTATGAGTCTCTCTGTGCGTGTGTCTATTGGTCTATTTGAGTGTTTGTCTGTGTATTGTTTTCTGTATAGGTTTGTATATTTGTTGGTACGTCTATCTGGAGGCCTATATATCTTTTATATATTTTTTTTTATGAGGTTCTTAGTGTATTTAGGTATATATTTGATTGAGCATCTATTTGCTATATTTTTTATCTAGAAAATTATTTTTCTTATTTAATTGATTGATTATTGAGATATCTAGTCTATATAATTTAAACTTTTGAATTATAATATTTATATAATTTGTTGTTTAATTAATTAGGAGATAGATAAATTATAGAAGGAATAATTTTAGATATTTCTATTTGATATTATTTTTATTTTTAAAAATATTTCAATTAATATTTTTATTTTGCAGATAAATTTAATTGAAATAGATATAAATTTATGTTTATATATAAATTCTTATATAGATTCTCTCTATCTATATATCGATAAAGATAAAGAAATTGATGATGATAATTGCATGAGGGATTTGATAGATAATTTATATTATATTTTATAAGGCCTTTTTGATTATCTATGAGGGCGCTCTGATAGACT